GAGTCTAGCTGTACCGAATCCCTCGATGATGCCGGAGTCCTGCGCCTAAACAATCAGCTGCACCAACTTTATCGCTCGCCTTGGTCTTGATGTCCGGACAAAGTCTTGGCCCGACAGAGTCTGAGTATATGATGTAGCTGCGGCCGCTGGCCTGCTTTTCAGAAGCCGTTGCGGTGATCCTCTTCTGTGGCTAGGTTGCTTGCTTTGTCCGTCGTGGCACTGCCACCCCGTTCTCAGGTTTGGCGATACCTTTGTCATGGCCCAGCTGGTGCTTCATGCCAAGGAACCACCTGCAGGCATGGCACTCGTTTGCACTCAGGGCGCACGCCATCGTAGGCTGGGAACACTTTCTGAGGCAACGCGATGGTCCTGAGCAAGTGGGGTGAAGTCAACAGCAGATGGGCTGGGGGAGATTTCGATGGGGATCTGAATTTCGCATCGAGCTCAGTCCTGCGACCCGGTCCGTTGAGCACGGGGAGTCTGAACAAGCTATTGCTTGTGTAGATTTGTGAAGGTCTGCTTTCTCGCTGCCCTGGTCCGATTTGTTCGAGACACTGCACCTTTCCTGGATGGGCAGGACTACAAGGCTCGGTCGAGACTGATGCAGTGCGCAGCAAAGCAGTTGCAAACTCCGGTCTGGTGTCTATGACCCTCGTGACTCAGGCTATGGAAGCCGAAGTCCTGAGCGAGCTACAAGATCGGAAGGTCGCCTTCGAGCATGCAGACGTTGAGTCGCGAGGAAACTTGGCTTTGACTTCAGGCGATTACGTATCTGTGTGGTCGTCGCTTCGTGTTATGCTCCTTTGCCTCCATCTGTCTGATGGATTTCGTTCTGGGCTTGGAACGTTGAGGCAGTGAATATATCAAGTTCTGTCTCGAAATGAAGACACCGCGACTTCGCGGCATCGCATGCCGACTGGCAGAAAGAGCCGCTAGCCGGGTCATCGATGCTATGCTGCTAGGCCGGGTGCATAAGCGTGTATACCTGAAAGTACGCGCGCTGCTCGGCAGTTCTCGTATTGTGGGCTACTCTTCGTGCCGGAACCCTTAGCTTCCGTCGCGCACAGGCGATAACGAGAAGGTTGCGGACCATCTTCCCACTGCGCTGAAGCTGACGGTGCCGGCTCACAAGGATGGTGGTTGCAAACCAAGGGGTCGCGTCAGGGGCAGCTACATTAGCTGACGAAGTAGAACACTCTGCAAACTTCCCACGCCGCCTCTGTGCTCAGGCGATGGACGCGCCCAAGAACTACGACATAGACCAGTTTCTCGCTCTCTGCAAGGTGTGGAAGAAACGATGCCACCTGACACTTCGCTTAGTTCAGTGCCCTTGTAGTCCTGACAGCAGAGTGGTTTGATCACGTGGCTCTTCGGTGCAGCAGATGTTGACAGAAGGAAAACCGTGATTGCATGTCGAGGAGAGGCGTGGAGCCGTCCTCCAAGACCGTATTGGGGTCGCTCCGGGCCTTCCCCCGCTTGGTCGAGACACCCCCGGAGGGACAGCCGGCCAAGAAGCCGAACTGGCGACGGCTTTGTCTGGCTGAAGTCAAGAAGGACACCGTGCAGCATGCTCGCTTCGATACCTGCCATTCTCAGCTTTGCTGACCTTGTATTTTTCTGCCTCTCCTGCATGGGCTTCTGATCGCGGTTTTCTTGGTTGCACCGCCGCTGTATTGCTCTGTCCCTCAGGCAATCCGTCTCACTATGTTTACGTGCGCGTAGGCTTCTTGCATGGCATGCTGCATGCGCTTCCATTTTTTTGTGCAGGGCACGGGTGGGTTTAGGGTTTAGGGTTTAGGGCTTAGGGTTTAGGGTTTAGGGTTCAGGGTTTAGGGTTTAGGGTTTAGGTGAGTGTCTACAGGGCTGCGCGGGGGAAATTGGCGCATGTGTATGTGGGCAGTTCTCTAAATTAGGGTCGGTTTTAGGTCCCCCAAAATAGTACGGCACCCTTATCAAAAAACCATCAAAAGAAACCCGAATTTAGACATGAGATGCGCATGGGGGCCTGCGTAATCAGTCATACTGTTCCTCAGGAAACGCCTCCTCAGGTTATATATTCATCCTTGTCCAGTGTCCCCCGAAACCTGGTCTAGTCTAATAATGTCGGGGCCTTAATAAGGGTTTTGGGGTTTATTATACCAGAAGTCTAATAGGGAACCCCCAAACAAGTCTTGGTAATTACTTAGGCCCCTGCATTACATGGGGACTCGGTTTGATGGACATTAGGGATCGAGGCTTTCGATGCCTTGCCGGTTTCAGACAATCAGACTCTTTTTTGGTTTTGGGTTTAGGGTTCTGGGGTTTCGGGTAGAGGTTTTGAGGGGTCTGAAGTGTGTAGGGCCTCGAACCCCTAAACCCTAAACCCC